CATCACAATTGGTAATTCCCATAACAATATAAGAGAGTCGAACTGGTTTGGTCTGATATTTCATTGGTGGTAGTGTCCAGTGTCACTGATGAGGAGTGCAATTCTCTGAAACTAGTCTGGCTCACAGACATACCCCCAATGAAAGAATAGACCATTCCAAGCTTTTACTTGTTGTTAAACAAATGTTTAAACAACTCTATTTATTTTCAACATAAGAGAGGTTATATCCTTATGTTATCTCTTGACTTGCTAGTGGAAAAGATCAATGTCCACTTCTACAAAGTGAGTTCAACCCTGCAGATATCTTTCCTTTAATGAAGAGAATGTAGTACCACGAATAGAAGATCCAGGCTAATAGGTAGTAGAGTGAAAAGAACTTAGCAACTTTTATGACTGTCATTATCTGTTGCAATCACTTACTCTTGGGTATATGAAAATTTTCATAGTAAACAAGGGAGTACAAAACATGCAGTATGCTTTCATATCTTACTTGTACTGTATTTTATCTACTAATTAATTACTGTAGTGGAAGCTGCATGAATACTGGTTAAATAAGCTAAAATGTTTAACCTTTAGGGAAAAAGAAGAAAAATTAACTACAGTGAGAACTAGAAAAGAAAGCTTGGAAAATCAAGTAAATACCCTCCAGCAAGAATGTACAGGTCTCCAGTCAACAATAGGACAGCTCACAAGTGCTCAGGCTGGATTGCAGGCTCACTTAGAAGCCACTAAAGTATGTGAAAAATTCATGGTATTTTGTTTATTGAGAAAGATTGATACTTTTATGCTTAAACAATTTTGATGACTGGGGTAATATTTTTTATTCACTTTCAGAAATCTGTATTTTTAATTATATTAATGAAAATATATTATCTAAAGTGTTGAATACATTATAATAAAACAATTTTGATTATGCAAATCAGTAAGTCATGTAACAACCACAGCCAAAATATATGTCAGGTTGGAATGTATCAAAACTACATTTTGACAATTTGGGGCATTTCTGAGGTAGTTTGATTCTATCAAAAATTGATCACTTGTGGGAATGGTATATAACAGCCTTTTTCAATACAAAATATTCATACAGTCAGACCATAAAGGTATATTCAGATCAGAGATCTACAATTTCCAAGATGAGGACATCTTTTTGTACTTAAAGGCACTGGAAAATAAAGAAATATTGATCAACTTGGGACACCAGATCACTATCTTTTATAATCAACATCATCAAAATAAACATGAATATGCTCTACTAAAGAAAAATTAATATTTTGTAAAAGTTTAATATTCCTAGTTTATAGAACATTTTTTATTATTTAATGATATCTTAGAAACTTCAATTTCACATTAAAGATACATCTACTTATAATGGCTATAATGCATGATAAATCAAAATGGTTTTCTAGAATAGGTGTCATTCTTTGTTGTAGATTTATCAAGTTAAATCTTCAGGCAGTAAGACTGATTTCAACAGCTTCTGTAAAATATATTATTGGAACTTGTATATCTGTAGAGTAAGGAGAAAAGTTTGTAAACTCTTAACTTGGGAAAAAATTATGAAATTAACTTAATGAGTCTACTGCTATTTCATAGTATTATCTAATAAGTTATCTAAGAATGGCAAATACTATATAGTTTTTTAAAACTAAGAATATTTTGCCAGTAATTAATTGGCTTCAAATTAATATTTTGAACACGGCGACAATTTGGCTCCCAAAAATGCTACTTAACAGTTTAACAAGTAATTTGCTCTTATTAGGTTATACTACAACAAGCCCAAGCAGAAAATGAAGCACAGAAAAAAATGATTCAAGAATTACAAGCCAAGCTTTATGATAAAGAAAATAAAATCTGTGTTCTTGAAACCAGAACCCGACAGGATGAACAGACTCGCCGTAAGCTACACAACATCATACAAGAACTTAAGGTTTAATAATAATTCTGTTTGTTTTGACAAAGTAATAATATTTTAAAATAAGATGTAAAGAAGCTGGTTTTTTTCTTTTAGATTCAAAAATTTTAATTACTGTAATTTGTATAAAATGAATAATTTTCAATATGCAATTTAAGAAATGTTGGTGATAGATATTTTATAAGTGTTTTCATTTATTTCTCGTAATCAATGTGAGTGATGTATTTTTAAAGTTGAAAATTCTCTTGCAGCTGTCATGCTTCATGTATATGCATGAAAAAAATTATATTCATAACAGAACATTAGATTCAGGTTCAAAGGTGCAGAATCTAAGTTGAAGTTGCGTTATACGTGTTCTTGCATACACCTCAAAATATTAAACAGTTATTATAAAGGTTCCCTAACATTTGAGCTGGGCAATTAATGTAATTAATTACCTATGAACACTGATTAGTGTCATGTGAAATAATCAATAAAAATTACAATTAAGTCAATAAAACCACAAAAATAACCAACTAATCAGTGTTTCTTATTATTGTTGTTTTCTAGTTTTCCAATTATCCAAGTAATTGAAATATTTCTTATTATTTTTTATTAATCCAAGGTTGTTCATTTTAATCAATTAGTGTCACAATTCATGAAAATAATCAACTAATCAAAATTGATTATTCCTGTTATTACTGTTTTAGATTATTCTAACTATCCAAGTCTCCTGAGAATAATTGATTCATTGAATGTATTAGATTAACCCTTCACATCTGGGCCTGGCTCTTTTGTGAATGTCATGACCTTTTACAGTGTTACTTTCAAAATTTAAATAAACAACTTTATTATCAATACATGTCAATAACTTAAACATGAAATCATGACTTGTCATTCAAATTTGTATATTATATAAGTTTTAACTTCATTTTTCTGTGTCACTTGATGTGTCTGAACTCCGATTTCTCCCTTTCAGAGTAAGGGTATGCAACTGGTAAACAAAAACAACTATGTGTGCAATAAACATAGTTTATTATTATATATGGCATCAATAACTATACAAATTGCATTATCAAAGTAGCATATTATGCCATTACCTTCACATAAATCATCATTTTGCTCAAATCAGTGACTTGTAGAATACATAGTAAATACATTGCTGTCTTGTCTAAACAAACATCACATTTTAATGATGAAATCCACACTTATCTATTGGATCTTTGTTTTCAAGCACTGTGACTTGGCTGAAGCATAAATCACTCTGATAACCTCCAGATATCTATTACAGTTTTTATGTACATTCCTAATGTGAAGGTTCTTCCCAGAACAATTGTTCTAAACTACTACTCATTGTGAGTGAAGGTGTATTATGGTCAGTAGTTAACACCTCATTTTCTGTTGTGTTGACCCGTATTTGGCTCTCGTGAAACCATGTAGTCATAGGAAATGCATGTTTGTTATAAGAAATAACTTTTCAAATCTAGAACAAGAACATACAGATTATTGATTAAGTTTCCCATTGCGAATATCTGTCCGTATGAACATACTTCATGTTGTTTGTGTCTGGGCTAATGAAGGTTCACTTCACTGTAAATATAATTACAAGTAAGAATCTTAAATTTCAACCACTTACCTTGATTTGCGAAGAAGTTAGTACATTTGCCAAACCCGCCAGAGAAACCTGTCCCCTCTCATGATTTTTTAAGATTGTTTGATAATCAACTTTACATGGTTGGTAGACATTAGACATGTGAGCAGATTCTTCTCTGTGTAAGTATTACTAGTGTGGTTTGTGGTGATCATATATATTGTGCTGCTCTGAATGCTAAAGGACTTTTTTTAACCTATTTTTAGATTATTTAAAAAGCCATATAGGTTATAGTAGTTTTGGGACATTTTGCTCTAGTGACTGATATTTTTGCTTATAAAATGCAAATATGAAAGTTACATGTATTCTTTTTTGGACACCCAAATTTGTGAGAAACAACGAGGCTTATGGAAGAATCTCTATGCGCAAGTGCAAACTGCCTCAAGTATGCAGTGAGTTCTACTAGTCCTAAAATGGCTAAAATTACACTACCTTGAACATGTGTAACAGGACACATCACAATCACATGCTTTTTACATTAGTTCAATAGGAAACAGTTAATGACCTCTTCTGTGATTTATTGCTGGTCCAAAGTCAGCAAGAAAACCATAAAATTAAAAGAAAGCAGGTGTAAAAAAAATAGAATTTGAAGTAGTTAACCAATGTATAAGAGAAGGAATTTTGACTACAATTAGGGTTTCTGTTTTTCAGTGTTGAATTTTAGCTGTTTTATTTAGATATCTTAAAATTGGTGTCTTTGCTTTTAATACTGTAATGAGTATACTAATATATCTTATATTCTCTGCACACTAATTTCTCTTATGGGAGTAATAACAGGTCCAAAATATAGTTCTATTTATGTTAAAATTAATATTTTAGATGAAATTATAAAAACAAATTTACCATTAATAAACAAGCTCATATGTAAAGCATAGTGACTCAAGAAAGTGGGGATATTAATTTAAAGTAAATCAGAAGCCCTAAATATAATTCTAAAATTACTGCATTTATCTTCATAAAATGTGGAAGCCTTTAGTAAAAAGTACAAGTCTCTTGTACACATTAAATCAGATGTGTTAAAAAGCATTTGTACTCGAGATATGTCTGAATTGAAGATGTCGGTCTTACTCGGACTCTGAGAAGTCACAGTGCAAGGTGATATTCGTGTGAATGGAAAAAATACTTTTGTTCATCATACAGTTTGCACATTCAATTTGCCTAATCTCAAAAATGCATATCTACAATTTTTTTGTTGTTGTATTTTTCACTATCCTTATATATTGTATCTGGTATTTACTTTTCTCTTCCACAAAATGTCACTTAATTGGCAGTGTAGGGTCAAATAAATAGTTTAGCTCTGACATCATATATATAATGCCATTTTGAATGGCACTCTGTAAAAGATTGTAGAATGCACACTTTAACCTCCACTAGTGCACATAAGGTTAAAGTAATTACTTTGGATCTTTCTAATTGTCAGTGCAGAGGAATAAATAGTATAATTCATTTTCTTTCCTGTTTTTCAACCTTTTCTTTTGCTGTAGATTTATTTTGCTACAGTTAGTGTTAGGGTAGAGAAAATAACACATAAAATACAAAATTTAACCGATTAAAAGATTTATGTAAATGAAATATGAAAACCGTAAGATGAAAAGAAGTATTTTCATCTTTCACTCAAACTGATCCAGAAAAGGATTCAGAAAGAAATACTTAGTTGACAATAGACTTGTTTAATAAAAGCGTGGAAAGTTTTGGGAATATACACATGTACAGTAAGCTTAAAATTATAGAAAACATTATTATTTATGGCTTTACAGATGTGGGGGGCCAGTAAGTTTGACAGAATCTGTGAACAGTTGTTTATGTGTCTCACAATTAATCAATTATCAAGTTCCACTAATCATTTAGTTCTAATATATGGGAAAACAGGTGATTTTTTTTCCCTCAGTGTCATTCATGGGTATTTTGAAGTAAATCTAGTACATTACTTTGTAAAATGATGTTAAAGTACCAGAAGTGAGTGGTATCACATTACACTGTAGACTGCACAATAGTAACAGTGTGATGGAAACTATATAAGAATGTTCAAAGGCTTGTCAGAGACCATAATGATAGTTTTAAAAGCCACGATTTTTGTACATGTAGAAAGAATACTTGAAGCTCGTGAGAAAATTAAGTACCAAATGCTGCAGATAAACTTTATTTTAAGAAACTATCTATGTTCTTCTTTAAAATTGAGTTAAAACTTTGAGAGTATATCTATTTAAGTTTTCTTATGCTTCTTCTCTCTCTCTTCTTCTTCTTCTCTTTTTATATATATATATATATACTTTACTTTACAAACAATAATGTGTAGGGTTTTATTTATTTGTCTTGCAGGGAAACATACGAGTGTTTTGCAGAGTTAGACCTCTTCTTCCAAATGAACTGGATGAAATTCCCGAAGAGCACATTCCTCATATTGCATTTCCTGATCCTGATAATAGGGAAGTCCAGCTGATGAGATTAAGTGACATTAGCTTGAATGAAGTATGTCTTATCACTTAGATACACTGGAGCAAGTGTCTTAATGTATCATGTCTGTTTTAATATTTAATGTTGTTATAAGTTACATTAAATTCAAGAATCAAAATAGTGTGTGCAAATTCTGTGAATGTTATGGAATTATCTATCTTAGCAGCTGTGATATCACTATATTTGTTGATAATATCCCTTCATTAATTACCATTAGCCATTTGTAAGAGTTGTTCATAGTTAAAAATTTTCTAAGTCATTCTTTGAAAACTATTTACTAGTCATTATTTTGTTTTTATTTTTTGATTATTATCACAGTTGAAATATTTCATTTCAGAGCTCTGTCGTGGGAAAAACCAAAACACCTGTTAAGTATGACTTCACATTTGACCGAGTTTTTTGCCCTTTAAGCAACCAGAGTGAAGTGTTTGATGAGATATCTCAACTTGTACAGTCATCTCTTGATGGCTATAATGTCTGTATTTTTGCTTATGGGCAGACAGGCTCAGGGAAGACTTATACTATGGAAGGCCCTGAAGAACTGGATCTCACTTTAGATCTGGACAGCCCTTGCCTCGGCATGATCCCTAGAGCCGTTCAACAGATTTTCTCTACTGAACAGGAACTTCAAAAAAAGGGCTGGCAGGTAAGTTCTGCAGATTAACTACAACATGTTATTAAACTGAACTCATCACATTAGATATGAATCTTTCCTTTTACAGAAAAAGTATTATTCATAACATGTACTCAGCTTACAAAAGTAGGTTTATATACCTTTACAAAGCTTATACAAACAAAACTTTATCAATTTAGGACTAATAACCAAAGGTACAAAAAAAAAGATATACACTTTAAGTCTTACTTAAATTATTACTTAATTTAGAAAAGTAGCAAACAAAGTTTTACATGAACACTAATCAAAATTGGACATGTCTTAATATCAATACAGCTAATGTTTGAAAATGTTCATGCAGATAGTAAATCAATTATACAATATATCTTACATTCAAGGCACAGTTAGTTAACTGGATTACAGCTTATTCCAGTAGTTTGGGTGCCACAAAGTAGACTATTTGTTGAATGTGTATGGGAATTAATATAAGTATGGTGATAATCTTTGTATAACTTATCATGACGATTATAACACTTCAGATGCTCTAAAAACCCTGTCATTTGTATACATCCAACAGTATAAGATGGACTCTTATTTCCTTGAAATATATAATGAAGTAATACATGACCTTCTGGTGGACAGTCCATCTGACAACTCTGTCAAACACGAAATCAAGATGGTTGGGAAAGGATCTGAATTATATGTGACCAATCTTACCACAGTGATTGTGAAGACAGAAAAAAGGGTAAAATATATTTTAGCTATTTTTAATTTATATTGCATACTTCCACACCACTAATAATAAGCTTCAGTGTCATAATAACAAAAATTTGATGATTTAAATAGTTTAAGAATTGTCAGATTTTTACTTAAGTGTAAGAGTCTTTATCTTTCTTCAAAAATTAGTACAGTACAGAATATATATATTGAACAAAAGTCCTAAATTATAAAATATTTGTCATTTGATTACTAGTTTAGAGCTGGTGGAGACACCTACAGAACTTCCATTTTTTTCTGTCTTTCTCTTCATATATTAAGGCCAAATAATGTCAGTTTTGACAATACTTGGGATCATTTTAAAAAATACAGTTGGAAATTTCACAAAATATTTTTACTCTGCTTTATGCTTATGAATTAAATAGAAAAGTACACATGTTCAAAAATAGTAGAAAAGGGTGATTTTTGAATGAGCACTA